TGGACTCTCACAGAACATTACCATGGGGCACAGGCCCTCAGCCGGACCTTTCAGCTCTCGTATGTGCAGACAGATCTCCTGCACTCTTGCATTTGACTCTTTGGGTGAATATTATAAAATGATCCTCTAACTTATGTGTCCTGTATCAAATCTTTTCCCGTGTGAATCCTGACTACCATTCCTGGTCCTCACCATCACCGGAGGGCATGAGGGGAGGGATCTGGTGTAGGACCTCCAGTGAATCCTCCCCATTAGAGAAAAAGAAATCTTGATTAGAACTCAAACCCTACTATCATGTAGAACCTTTCTTCCTCTGTCTTCAGCATTTTATTCTTTTAAGAGAGTAAATGGAAAGGTAAGCAAGAGTTCAGAGGAAGTCTTTCAAGATGACTTTCAGAAGGGCTCAGCTTTTTTTCCACTGTCTGTGCTGCTACGTGTTCTATTTGCTGTAACAAAGTACCTGTGGCCTGAGGCTTCATAAGTGAGAGTGGCTCAGTTAGCTCATAGACCCAGAGGCTCAAAGGCTGGGCGCTGGCACTGCCCTGGCCCCAGGGGGGACCTTGTGGTAGAACGCATCACATGGCACAGCCCACGTGAGAGCAGCCACATGGCAAGACAGGGAGCCAGCAAGCAGAGAGACCCACCTTGTGCTTCATACAGCAGCCCTCTGCCCAGAAGCACGAACTCCCCTCTGGAGATCACTTCACTGGTGTCCCAAGACTTCCCTCCAGGGGCCCACCTCCCATCAGTGTCACTCCGAGGACCCAGCCACCAGGGATGCTGGGCACAGCATGGCCTTCTGTGGTCACATCTACAGGCACACACCAGAGCTCTCCCAGAGATCTCCACTGACCCCACTCAGCTGCAGCCCCACCCTACCTAGTGTCCACCTGCCCAGCTGTGGAAAAGTCCCTTGAGAGAACTCTGTAAAGAGTAAAGGGCGTAAAGGAGCTTTACAGACAAGGGTTGGGGGAAGCTTTCTAGATGGGGTGCTGCCCCGGCCGCCCCAGACCACAGTGTGCTAGCATGTGATGGACAGGTGCTGGAGGACAGCGGGAGGGGGCTCGTGTCCCCCACCCAACACAGCAGCATCAAAAAATGCACTGGATGTATACATTAAAACATTTTTATTACCATGAGAGACACACTGCCACCAAAATCCATCAAACCTCTATCAAAATCCCTCCTCTCCCTTCACATGCTCGTCTCATGCTTCTTGCCACTTCCTGAGGCAGCTGTGGGAATCCCCTTCCCCGAGTGGTGCTGCCCTAGCTACCTCAGGGTGCTGAGTAGATTCTGAACATTTCCCTCCCATGGTTAGTTTGACTCTGGAGAACAGGTGAGTGACCTGGAGGACGACAGACCAGCATGTTGTCATAGCCCTGCCTTCCTGTGGGACAGCGCTCAGCAGCCGCATTCTCATGAAAGGGGGCTTCCAGAACGGTGGCACTAAGTGACAAGAACGACAGGATAAGTGTGTTCAAAGTGGGGGAGGATTTTGAGGGATTCTTGGGAATGTCTCTTGTACTGAAATACTTTTTTAAAAATGTAAACACTCGCTGTTTATTCTGACAGGCCCTCATACAAAGCGGCCCCTGCCCCGCAGTCCCCCTGCTTGCCTGTTCTGGGAAGTGTCACTTACAGGTCCTCCACCTTGCAAACATTCATGGATCCCATGCCGTGAGCCAGGACAGCTCGGGGAGGTGGTATTCAGCATCTGGAATTATTAGATACAGATAACAGATTCAGTGACATTCACCTTTCCCCAGGTTTAGTTTAGAAATACTCCAGTATGTCTTTCACGACTGTCTATTCTAGTATCTCCACTTTGAAAATAAAAAAGTTAAGGCCTGGAGGGGAAACATAATTTATCTAAGATCAAACTCTGTGCCAAAGATCAGTTTTGGAACCAGAGCCTTTGCTTTTTATTAGATCCCCTGCCATTCCTGTTAGGGGACAACCTGAGGACGCAAGTCAGGGACCAGCCTGCTTCCGCATAACTAAGAGTCTTACTGTGGGAGAAGTGACACCCCCTAATCCACAGTGCTTATATTAAAAGTCTCCCACCTCCAAACTAATTAAAAAAAGAATGTGGTGCTGTGTATTTGTCTTGCCCTAATAACCTTCTAACCAACCCTGCAGTCATTATTTTTTCTTTTAAATTTCTTTTTTGCAGTCCTGAGCATGAGCCTAAGGCATTGTACATGACAGGCAAGTGCTCTGTCTACCATGGAACTCCATCACCCTCCCTCTTTTATGTTTTGAGACAGCGTCTTGCTTAATTGCCCAGGCTGCCCTTGAGCTAGTGGTCATCCTTCCTCAGCCTCCCAAATAGCTGGGATTGTAGGCACAAGGTCACTGTAAATACAGAATTTTTAGTGACAAGAAACACCAGTCTTTTGTCAGAGGAACCTGCTACATGAGCTCCTCATGGTGAGCCACTGAGGTACCAGCCTGGCTGGGTCTCACCTAGGGTTGAAGAGGTAAAACCCTACCTGGTAATGAGATTCCAAGAATGCTCCTGTTAGCCACCCCTTTCTACTTCCCTGGGGAAGCCGCGTCGGGCTGTGCCAGTCCAGCTGCCCAAGTGGCCAGGTGGCAGCCATTGCTGAGAGTGGAGCTGAAGCCTCCTTTCGATCCAGCCATCTGCGAAAGCCAAAGCAGAGATCTGTGGGGTGCTTCTTTTCAGAAGAAGCAAATCTAGTCGCAGCCGAGGAGAGCTGCTGGAAAGACAGGAGATAGTTAAGTGTCCGTAGCTGTGGTTGCACTGACAACAGGAGAGGTAGGCCCGGTGGCTAGGATGGCTGGACATGGTTAGAATGTTTTCTGCCACCCTGGGGGAGGCCCACCTGGCAGAGCTTAGGAGTCCTCTGAGGGGAAGCAGCCACGAAGACATCTGTTGACAAGTGGAGCTCTTGGCGTTGCATATGGCGGCACAGACTTGAGTTCCTCCAGGCATCTTTATCCAAGTGCTCTCTGCTCTCTGATGATTCAAAATGGTGCCCTTCTTCAGCCCCTGCAGGCAGAAACCTGAGCCCTTCCCCAGAGGACTCCTGCTGGAACAGCGGAGCGTGGGGGCAGTCAGCACGTTTCACCACGAGGACCAGAGGAGGAACTTCAAGCTCTCTCTACCTGCTTTGTTGAGCTAATTTAAAACCCTAAGTTTGCACAGGTTTTGCGAAGGTCCCAGACTTGAGGACCCCTTAATAAATCAAATTATTCAGATTTGATTTGGCACCAGGATCTTTTCATCTATTGTACCTCTAAGTTCAGGACTCATGAGCACATAACTCTGCCCAACTGAGACGTCGAATTTAGACTTTGTGATTTCTCTAACATCTTTCCAGACTGGCTTATCCTATTTAGACTCTGTATTCAAGCTCAGCCAGAGCAGACGGAGGATGACTTGCCACTGAGGAATCATAAACTCCAAACTCCATAGAAGAAACAGCTGATGTCAGGATACCCTCATTCAGTACAGAGATTTTAGAAATCATAAACTCATTCCATGAATGCTGGAGAAATCGATTCATGATCAAAAGCCGGAACTAATTTCTGCAGCATCTTGGATAAAAAATAAAAGACCAACCAAGGGAGGAAAGCAAATGTTTTGACAATGACCCAATTAAGAGGAAAGCATGTTTCCTCACTGAGCACTGGGACAGTCCACTGGCGCCTTGGACGAGAACATCCTTTCTCCCAGTTGAACCCTTGAGGAAACTGCTCTTAACAGAGCAGTCGTTCTGCTTCCTTCTTTGGTTTTCTTTGTTTTGAAAATGGAAGAATTCCAGCTTGCAGCTTTCCTGAGCCAAGCGTAATCGGGTCTAACACGGTGCATGAGTCCCTTAAATATTTGCAACAAGGGTCCCAGATGTGAAGAGAGCACCAAGACGTCCACTGGGCTCCCATAGCAAGCTTTGTGGACACTGTCCTAGGCCTGACACTGTGGCTGCCTTTGGTTCTTGTCCTTTTCATGCTTGACTCCTGGACCCCTAGAAAATGATTGTATTTCGTTGGAGAAAGTTGCTGTTCACAGACACACAGTGGCCTCGTGGGGGACAGACACGTGCCAGCAGCTGGGCAGGTAGACACCTTGCTGTCACCCTCCGTGGTCAGCACGGCTGGCCTAGTTGGGGAGCATCCTGCCAGCCAGGGGCACAGCTGTGATTCTTGCTGTGTGTGCTTGCTCTGGGAGCTGTGGCGCCAACACAGAGCCCTGAATGCCAAGCTACTGTGGAGCTTAGTGCTATCACAGATTGGTCCCCTAACTCTTCTCCGAAGCATAGCTCATCACTGTCCCCAACAGGCATGTTTAATAAACTCCCCCTAAATGTTTGTCATCTGTGGTCGTAATGACAACAGCTGCAACTTCATAAAGTGAATGCTTGTTTTTATAGTTCATCTCCCAGGCGTACACCATCACCCTGCAAGGTGGAAGTGGGGCCTATAGCTAAGTGTATGTGAGTGATCTACCTATTGCCAAGCCATCCAGACTCAGTGGCCTAGGTGACATTTATTTTGCCCATGAATCCATGGTTGCACTGAGGATTAGTGGAAGTAGCTGTCTACTCACCAAGTGTTACCAGGGACAGTTCAAACAAAAGTCAGGGACTTCTGAAGTCTGTCCTACTCCTATGTCTGATGGGGAATCTTGCTTGGGGATATAATGTTCTGGAATCATCTGGAATATTCTGGAATTATCTATGGCAAAATATGTGCTGTCGGAGATTCTTTCTTTCCCCTAAGATACCAGAGCATTGTCATTTCAGGGAGTGGTGATTCCACAAACTTCCTATGCTTGAAGCTTAGTTCAGTTCATGGTGGGCTTACTGAGCCCCAGCACGCACTGCAAGGGAACCAGAGAAACAGAGATGAGGTGTCACAGTCTGTAAAGGTGGGGTGTGGCGTGGCTCCCTCACATCAGCTTCTGCATGTTGTAATACTGCATCCTCCTTGCTTGGGGTCATGTCCACTCAGTCTTCTGCTTATCCTCCCTCCAGGCAGGCATCGACGGGGAAAGCATCGGCAATTGTCCCTTCTCCCAGCGCCTCTTCATGATCCTCTGGCTGAAAGGAGTCGTGTTCAATGTCACCACTGTGGATCTGAAAAGGTAAAGATGCTATATCCCCCCGAGCGCTGGTCTCAGGGTGAGACAGGGAGCCTGGGTGACAGGGCAGACCCTGAAGCAGCTCCTGAGGCCTTGATTTGGACCTCTGGTCTGGATCATTTTCCCCCCTCCCCCAGCTCTCTCAGGGATGGAGAGGCTGCCAACGTGTTAAATCCTGGGGCTAAGAATCTCCCTTGCTACCCAACCTGTGGAAAAGAGGAAGGAGGGATGCTGGGCACAGCTAGGAGTGTTGGTGGCCCTGTCTCTTTTCCTTTGGGGCAGCTCCCATCCCAGCTCCCTTTTTTTTCTCTTCCCTGGCTCCCCAGACACCCCAGCTTCTCTCTCCCCTCCCAGTGCTAAATCCCACCTCCAACATCTTTTCCACCCTCAAAGCCCATGCCTGGCCCTGCAGATCTCAGCATCGCCAGTCTTTTCTCATTCTTCAGACTGGGCTTCCTTCATCCTTCCAGAGCCACTCTATCTCTCCCTCCCTCCCTGCTTCCCCAATCTTTAATTATCCCCAGCTGATTCCCGCTAAGGCAGTGCCTTAGCCCAGGGTCTGCCCTGCTCTGAAACCTTCACTGCTCCCCACTATGAGCAGAATGGAGGCCCCGAAGCCCTCTCCCTCCTTCCCTTCCTGGTTCCCAGCTCTGTCTCCCAGTGTCCTGCTCACCTGCCAGGCAAATGACCTGCTGCCACTCTTGCCTCCTGCAGCTTGCACCCCTCATCTGCCCTGGGCTCTGTGTCACTCCAGGAGCTCCCTCCCTCTTGACTGCAGCACCCACAGCAGCTGCACCTCACCCTGTCATGAGCTCTACAGCCCTCAGGCTGCAAGCCTGCGAGTGCTTCCCCATCAGAACACCCACCCCAGTGCCCTGTGGAGAAGGCCCCTCCCCCACATTACACAGGGCAACAGTGACACACACACTCAGACCCTCACAGGGTGCCTTGCTAGACAGCAGGGGAGTTGCTTCTCACCCTAGAATCTGGGTTCAACCTGTGCTCCTCACAGCCCTGCAGTTAGGATGTCCGTGTCATCTTTCACATGTGACTGCAGCCACTCAAGGACAGGCAGGAGCGTGTTGAGCTTTCCCAGGCTCCCCAGCGGCTCACGGGCTCTCTGGTAGTGGCTGTGGAATGAGCGAGCCCACAGCGGAGCTTCTGCGCAGTTCAAAAGGACAACTGCCGTGGTGGGAAGTCCAGGTCACTAGGACCTGTGCTCTGTTGAGGCCAGGAAGGGAAGGAGCCCCACCCTTGCATCATCCACGTGGTGGCACCTGGTTCCACCAGCACCCCTCTGAAGGTAGCATTCCCCCAGCATTCCTGTAGGTAAGGCAGCTTTCGTGCTGCCTACGCACACACCTACACCTCTTGACTTCTGGGAAATCCAATTTCTTGCGTCCCCATTCTTCACTGGTTGAGTGGTTTTGATCTTTCCTGAGCTCCTGGTTCCATGTCTGTGCAGTAGAGATAAAACAGTGACCAGTAATCTACAGAACAGTGATGAGGACAGGGGGAGGAGGGCCGGGGGGGCACTTGCATGTAGGGTCACACCTGGCTGGCCGCAAGACCTCCATCCGTGTCCGCTATTCTGCAACCACCCCAAATCCCAGCATCCTTCAGGCACAGAGAGGCAACCACAGGAAAGCAGAGCTCCCAGGCTTCCCTGCAAGCTGTGTCAGCAGCAGTAGCAGGAGGAGCCAGGAAAGAATGTGCTTTCTCGGGGTGAAGGAGGGACACACCCGGAGTACACACAGAGACCCAGTCAACTGGATTGTAAACATGCTTTCCATCTCAAGTTCTCAGCCGCAGCCTGCATGTTTGCAAGCAGAGCACCAGGAGTGGTGGCGCGCCATTGACCTTCTCTTTGTCCCCTCCCCAGCTGACTATGCCAGGAATGTGTTTCCTTACAGGTGCCTCTGCCTTGTTGCCCTTTTGTTAGCTCTTCTTTCTAGTGTTTTCTACCCTGACTCCCAGGCACAGGTGGCTACTGCAAGAGAGCCTCGGACTCTGGGTTCCCTGCAGGTCACCTCAGGCCCCTCCTTTCCTCCTCTTCTCAGCGCAGCCCCAGTCTTGTCAACCATTCCCCCTCCTTCTGTGCCATCCTTGCTCCTGCATTTGACCACCTGGCTGATCCTGGAGTCAGCCTGGCACGAACAGAGACCCCACCAAAGCCTCCCTTCCATGGTGGTTGTTGGAAATCCCTTTGACAGATAGCCAGGGCTGTGCCTGGTGGCTCAGGGCAAGGCCATATTCAGCATAGCTGCGTCTGAGTGCAGACCCTCAAGCCACTGGGTGTCCCTTCATTTAACTGGACATATGTCCCAGGAGTCTATCCTCCTCCCCTACAGACACCCATCTTTCCCACCTGGTCTTTGGCAGGGGAAGAATTCCTTATTGCCATGGCTATGTCGGATCCAAGTGTCTGACCCAGAGTCCTCCAGGTGCAACAAGAAGCCTTCTTTCTTCTTAGGGATTCAGCCTGCCCTTTCCCCTATATGTGCTTCCCATAAAAGATCCTACCAGTCCCAGCACAGCCTGCTATACAGGGAAAATACCACTCCTAGAGGAAGTACTATAGTTGAGTCCCATTAGAAAACAGAAGATATATTTACTTAGAAAAGGGATGATTTACAACTTAAGAGAATACTTAGGCACCGTTATTCTTAAAATTCATAAAACACAAGGGAGAGTGGGAAGAGTAGGGGATTAAAAAAAAAAAAGAATCAGGAGGCATTATGTATCCCCAAGATGAATACAATCAGTATGTATGGCAAACACGTACCAATAATAAGAAGAAATAGAAGCACAGTTTCTGATTTAAAGAGCATTTTCAGTTTTTTGCATAGAGCACATTTTTTGTGTATAATACAACTTGTTAAATGTTCTAAGGAAAATAGCTACCTTCCGGAACAATTAGAACCATCCTCAAAATAAGAGCAGGACTGAAGTTTTTAGCAAATTCCCAACCAATATTTGACTTCTAAGTCTGCAGCTAAAATCATTCCTTTTAAAGTTAGAAATGAAATTTTGTGTGTGTAGCCATTAAGAGAGCTCACTCCCTAAATGCTAGGTGTAAGCATTTGCCTCTAAGCCTTATTTGAGCATTCAACTTACGCCTGTCTCCTTCTAGAAACTTCTTACTCAGGAAACTTGGGTCTGTTCACCTTGAACTACTACATCAGTATTAAAATTGTAATCATCAAACACTTTTGTTCCACTTTATTGTTTTTAAAATGATTTTTCAACCTAATAGTTTGTGCATTTTTGGTGGCTACCAAAAGGCCGTATGTAACAGGGGCTATTTATGGGTGGAAAAAGTGGTTTTTAAATTTTTATTTATTTATTTATTTGGTATAGGATCTCACTACACAGCTTGAACTTGTAGTGATCCTCCTGTCTCAGCCTCCCCAGTGCTGGGATTACAGGCCTGAGCCACCAGGCCTGGTTTCAGGGATGACATGTCGCACCCAGAGTTCCAGGGCTGGCCCAGCATGTGGTACAGGGGATTGAATTCAGGACCTTGCACTTTCCAGGCAGGCTCTTAGAACACCAAGCAATCTCCGAGTCTAGAAAAGGTGTTCTTCTGAGTCTGTCAAGAGGTTGACTAATGTTATTGTCACTTATGCAATAGTAAATTTAAGTTACACAGGACAGAGGTGCTTGACCTTGAGCAAATAGTTCAAGATTCTCCTTTTGTATCTGAAGATGTTTCTTAGAATACAAGTGTGATCCAACTCATTCATTTTTAAGGTTTGGAACAATGCTCAGTGTTTTTTTGTCAGAATAATTAGTGACCTTTTGGAAGTCGGGTGCAGCTCCATCTCCTGCTGCAGAGCAAAAGCGGGGAGCCAAGCCAGTGTCGCCTGTGATCCTCCCCACTCCTCCTGTGCTCAGCTATGGCTCTGCCTTCCCAGAAAGGTTTCCATGTCCACCCTGCAGTGCCTCCTCCAGCCCCTTTCCCCTACACTGCATTGCAAATCTATGTAACTGCTGGGCACAGTGGGCAGCACAGAGTCCACTTTGTGATCCACCTCAGGCCTCCCAGCACGGGACTCTGCCCAGCACAGGCCTGCGCCTGACTCCCGCTCTCTGCAGAAAGCCAGCCGACCTACACAACCTCGCCCCTGGCACCCACCCGCCCTTCCTGACCTTCAACGGGGAGGTGAAGACAGATGTCAACAAGATCGAGGAGTTCCTGGAGGAGACCTTGACCCCCGAAAGGTACTGGGAGGCTTCCTTCTGGATCGGACTGAAGGGAAGGGCCGGGTGTGTCCCTCAAGCTTTTTCTGAGGAGGATTAGGATCGTGTTCAACATAGTTCCACCAGATTCTGAAGTTTCCACTCTCTATGCAGAGCTAGGCGTTCGCTCTCTGCCCATGTCACCTGCCCTGAGCCAGGGTCTGTCTGGCCCAGGTTAGTGACACAGGAACACAGACTCCCTAGCAGCAGAACCTCAAAACTCTAGAAACTCCCATCACAGACAGCAGTTAACTGGGACCATCAACTAACTGCCCTATACACCCCACAGGAGTGCTGTTTAGCTGGCTTTGTAGAGAGAGCAGATGGGGCCAAGTGGCCTCCCAGGAACTGTCACTAAGCCAGTGCTCAGCTCCACTGCTGTCCCAGCCACAGTTTCCCCACCAACCTGGACTGGGAGGGGGTGGCCTGTGTCCTTGAGTTCTGGAGTGGGACACTCATCCTCTGCTTCTCCAGGAGGCAGCAGAACCCAAAGATGTCACTTGTGCTCTGCTGCATGTTTCTTGTCACACCACTGGGACAGCCAGGACAGCCAGGGAACCAAGACATCATGGGAACCTTCTCCCCCAATCCATATCCAAACACTCCAACAACTCTTTAAATTCACACTGGATTCCACAGGGCATTTATTTGGTGTCAAAATGAGGAATCCAGGAAATCTCCAGTCATTTGTAAGTGAGAGTGACACCCATCCCTCTCTGGCCTGGTACCCAGCCAGTGCTGGACAAGGAGGCCCTGGGGCCAGGCAGTGGGGACAGGTCAGGCAATGGGGACAAGCCAACCCAGACCTCATCTCTGGGAGTGGCCAGAGGGCCTAGGATGCAGAACCAAATCGGGAGACCCAGTTCGGGCCACCTCTCCACCAGCTGTGGACCTTGTCCTGGGACATGGACAAGTCTGTCCCTCCCAGGGCCTTTGTTTCTCTTCTTTGAAATGAAGGATGATGCTACGGAGTCTCCATGTCCTTTTTAGCCCCAGTTCTATGATCCCAGGAGTCCTCAAACTTCTCTACCATTGAGCGGCTGTTTAAATAAGCCCTTTGGACCCCAACGGAGCATCTCCTAAATTAAACAGACACCTCCCATGGCTCAAGAAAGACAGATCCAGCTAATGAGCCAGTTGAGGAGAAAAACATGACAAAAAAGTAAAGATGCAAAAACAAGGGAAAACATGGCACTGGGAAGGCCCTGCTCTCGCTACCATATCCAGTACTCACGGGAGAAGGATGGCTCAGGAGGGGACCATGTGGTCTCATGGGAGAGGAGCCCAGGTGTGGTGTTGTCTGGCTCTGGGAGGCTGGGGTCCTGTCACAGCTGCCAGGGACAGGCACTGGGGTTGGAGAAAAGGCATGACAGGCTTCCCTGTACAGAGGCAATGCCAGCCAGCACCACAGCCCGGGCCTTTTGCTGGGGCAACGCTGTCAGTCCCAGAAGAGAATGCATCCTGAGTCATCTGGGCGGCATTCTGGCTCCTGGCCAGCAGGCTGTGCTGCCCACGGGCAATGCTTGGCCCCTCTTGGGTCTTTTTCACTGTGAGTGCTTGCCAAGGGCCCACACCGAGCACACACATGGATAAGTGGTCCTGCTAGAAAGGGACCCTAGTGACAGGGACAGGCCTGCCTTTCCTGAGCTGCAGGCTCACAGTTCACAAAGCTGAACCTGTTCCTTCTAGGTATCCCAAACTGGCTGCAAAACACCGGGAGTCCAACACCGCGGGCATTGACATCTTCTCCAAGTTCTCCGCCTACATCAAAAACACCAAGCAGCAGAACAATGCAGGTAAGCGACACAGCCCACCTGGAGGCCCTGGATGTGTCTGTCACTGCCCAGGGTGGCTTCTGTTTCCCAGGGGCGCATCAGGTACTGGGGCTAGAGAAGCACCTGGAGCCACACGCTGCTTGTCATTTAACATCTGCAGCCCCCTGGATTTGGGCTCAGGGTTGGTAGACCTGCTACCTGGCTGGTGTGAAGGACAGGGGACCACAATGATGACCTGTACAGAGGGACGAGGACATTGCAACACTGACTCTCATGGAGGAGCATTGTCCTGCAAGCCTGCATGACGCACTGTATGGGGTCATGAGTATTGTGCATTGTCCCAAACTGGCGAACCTGCTCACGGGGGAACACACCTGCCTGTTTCCTTCTGGTCTCTGAGATTTCCAGGTGTGTCCCAAGCCCAATGCCATGGCAGCTGCTGAGGGCTGGAAACGCTCTGCATTTTCCTCCCCAGGTGCACAGGGGACTAGGGAGGACATCTCAGGGCCTCGTCCTCGCCATGTACCCCTGGGGCTCCTGGGCCACCTTCTCCAGGGCCTTGGGCCCCTTCTTTAAGTCCACAGTACCTCAGCACCTCATTTGGTGCAGAATTAGACTTGGGGTTGGAAGAGGAAAAGGATGCCTGGCTGGTGCGGGAAAGGCTCCAGGCACAGAAAGTCAAGTGAGACAAGAAGCGTGTGCCGCATGACTGGAAGAGGTCGGAGGGGCCGATGAGCTGCGGAGGGAAAGGGAAAAAGAATTTACCCAAGGTTCTTTTACAGCAGGGTCACAAAGATCAGGGGAACCAGTTATGGAGGTTGCAGACGAGAGGACTCTGGGAGGGTGGTGGGGGGGAGAGGGGGCAGGTAGAACCTGGAGAAGCCAGAGCCTGCGGAGCCAGTGAGGGCTGGGATTTGGCCCTCTGGCTGGTGGCTGCTCTTACAGGTTCACATGGTGGTGCCATAAGAAAGGTGACTCTGGAGCCTAGAAGTGGGTGGAAATATTTTAAATATCTTTGGTACTCTTGTTTTGTTGCTTAGTTGGATCCTGTGGTGGGTTAGAGCGTGCCCAACTGGGCCTTATTTGGAAATCGGATTTTTGCAAGTGTAATTAGTTAAGGATTATAAGACTTTGGGGACTTTGGGGTCCTCCCTTTCCTGCAGATCATTCTGGAACCAGTTGGTTCCTAAATCCAAAGATAGTAGTCCTCAGAAGAAGGGAAAAAGCCAGAACTGTGGACACACACCTGGGGCACTTGGGGAGGCTGAGGCAGGCCAATCACAATTTGAATGTAGTTTGGATAACAGCAATTTAGACCTTGTCCAAAGAGAGAGAGAGAGAGAGAGAGAGAGAGAGAGAGAGAGAGAGAGAGAGGAAGGTGTCAGGGTTTGGATGCAGGGAAGCCAGGAGAGGCACATGAAGTCAGAGGTGGTAGCTGGTGTGATGGGGTCCCAGGTGCAGTGCGCATGGCTTTGCAGAGGCTGGGAGAGGCGAGGAGGGACCTGAGTGACACTTGCCTGGACTTTTGTATCTTTTCATGTTAAGTCACCAGCTGGTGGCCCATGCTGTGGGGAAGAACACAGTTGCCCCTCTTGGCCCTGCGCAGGGACTCGGCCTTTCCTTGGGGCAGAAGAGCTCTGGCTGTGGCCCTCACACCCCACATCCTTCATCTTCATCACAGGCATCTTCCCAACGCATCAGAGTACCCTCTGGATGATTACCTCCTCTGAGCTCCAGATGTCTTGAATTATCGACGGTATTTCCATGTTACCCATATTTACAGTCCTCAGGTCCTCAAAGCCGAAGCAGCAGTTTCCACAGAACACTGCGTATCCATTTCCTATAAGCTCAATACTCCAGTTTTCATTGCTTCCCTTCTTCTGTCTCACCCTGTTTTTGCCGTAATGCATTTCACCCCCGCAACTCTGTCCTCCCTGACTTTTCTGCACATTTCTGAGCTGAGTTTCTGCTTTCCAAAGTAACAGTGACGTCCTTTGAACAGGAGCCCCTTGCCTCCGTGTTGTGGCTGTAACTGCCCTCTCCTCACTCCTCCCACTCCTCCCACCCCCACGCCCACCATGGTCACCAGGGCCCAGGGGGACAGATGCTCCTGCTTCACTCCTGCTAGGGGCCCAGTGCCACCCATGATCCCAGCTGGCAGGACGATTGCATGGGGGACACTCCATGGCCCCATCTCAAGGTGTCAGCTGGCTTTCTCTGTAAGAATTGCTGCATCTTTTTGGGGTGTCTCACTCTGTAGCTGTTTCCCAAAGGTAGATCATCTTTCTTTGTTTTTTTTTTTTTGAATAATTTTATTGAGAAACAAATATCAATGAGACAGTTTTACAACCAATTACTGGCACATTTTCAATAATTAATACATTGCATATTGTTGTCTTCGTGGTTATTCATTGTACCAGATGCAGACATGATATCCTGTCTCAAACACTATTATAACAAACCTCTCTATTCATTGAATTAAGAGAATGGAGCTGTATATCTAGCCTAACTATTTTGAGTATACAGATACAAAAGGGTGATTCATTTCTATCCCACTTTTTGGTTAGTTTTGTCAGAGATGGGCATTCCATTATCATTTAAATATTGTAGGTGCGTGACTTCAGCAGAATCTCCCAATATAGTCAAGTAGTCCATAATAGTAGTGGGTTTTCCATAAGACTGCCAAAGTCCAAAGTTGCTTACTTGAGCTTTTCACAGCTCAGCATAATTAATGTGGCTTTATTTTTTATACTTTGTTTTCATACTTCTTGGGAGTCAGTTTTTATAAGCAGAGACCAGCCCCTCCCCATGCACACACAGAGGCTTTACTGCCCTGTCACCAGGAACAGTAACAGCAGACAGGAGACCCAGTTCTAAAGCATGTATCACACATGAGATGTGTCCCCCTGCACCCAGACACAATAAATTCCACGCCATGTTGTCTTTGCACGAGCCTCATGCTCTCTGCTGGTCTCCCCCCAAACGCACCCCCAAATGTTACACCCAGTTCGAGTGACTTCAGTTTTTCTTGGCTTCCTTGGAGTTCCCTCTGTTTTTGTCCCTTCAGGTTTATTTATTTCTTTTCTTTACCCACCTCTGTGTTCCTCAGTCTTGGGCTCTCGTCCTGGCTTGCACCTGTGCCCCGTGCATCACAGAAAGCTTTACAGCTCCACGTGCAGCATAGCAATGCCACAGAGGAGGTAAAAGAGGAAACAGGAGGAGGACAATGGGGTGAAGTGGGTGGGCAGGGACAGCACGAGTCCCAGAAGCCCCAAGCCCTGACGCCTGACTCACCTGGTGACACGGGGCCCATAGTGAGCTGCAGCACGATTTCCCCAGAAGACACAAGCAAACTGACCCCCTGAAAGATCAACAAGTTCCCTGTCCTGAGCCACAGCCAGAAGGGCTGCCATTTCCACTTAAAAAAAAAAAGAAATAGTAAAAACAAACAAACAAACAAAAACACAGTAGAAACAATACAGAATTTCACTAAACAAAATAATAGGAATTGGACATGGCATTTGTATTGCATAATGTTGTCTTCAGATTAGTTGTTCAGATTACCAGCTATAAGCATGCAAAACTAATCAAAAAATTAAAGCGAGGCAAACAAATGTAAGCACTAAGTGCTCTGTTCAGTAGATCAGCAGAAATCAATGATCCAAGCCGTCCTGCGTGTATACATAGATGTTTCTTTTCCCATTCCTTCTTTTCTCCTTTCTCTCATCCCAGCTGTTCCTTCCCTTGGAACAGTTTCTCTCCCTTCCACAGTATCTATTATACTTTTCCAGTTGTATCTACTCTTCCAGGTTCATACACTAGAGAGACAATACAACGTTTACACAGGCGGGTCTGATTTATCTCACTTATAAGTATGATCTATAGTTGCATCCATTTACCTATTAAAGTCTCTAATTTACCTTTTTTTAAAAAAATAACTGAGTACTACTCCATTGTATAAAAATACCACATCTTTTAAATGCATTCTTCAGTTGGTGGGCCTTTGGGTTGTTGCCAAGATTTAGTTTTGACAAATTGTGCTGTTATAAACATATACCACTGTGGTATGCTGTTTTCAGGTCTTCTGGAAAAATACCCCAAAGGGGAATAGCTGGGTTGAATGGGACCTCCGATTCTAGTTGTTTCATGAATCTCTACACTGATTTTCATGGAGGTTGTACCTGTTCACACTCCCACGAGCAGTGGAAAAGTCTCCTTTGCCCCCACAGCCCCTCCAGCACTTGTTAGTGGCTGACTTCTTGATGGTAGCCATTCTTTCCCGGGTGGGATGGAATCTCAGTGCTGTTTTAATTTGCACTTCTTCAACAACCACTGGTGTTGAGCATTACATTTACTTGCCATTTGTATTTCTTCACGTGGAGAAGTGTAGGTTCATCTCAGTTTGCACATTTTTGGATTGGGTCTTTGAATTTTGGGGACCCGAATTTTAGAAATTCTTTTGACTTCCCTTCCCAGCTGCCACAGCCTACAGGTCTCTGGTTCCATGATTTTTAGACTTCTCTGCCCACCCTGCCTCAGGGCCTCGCCCCCAAGCCCTGTCTCTCTGTCCTCCCTCCGCGCTCTCTGTCCCTGAGGCCTATTTGCTGCTTTTTTTGGTCTGCCTCTTTTCCTGAAGGCCCACATTGTGAGGAATGAGGTTAGAAATGGACTGGCCAGTCACCTAGTGGGATCTTTGTTCCCCCACCAGATCCTCTGTGGCTCATGACCACACCAGCACCCTGCCCTCGCCCACCACAGACAGCTGGAGGAACCCACCCTTCCTCTCCCAGCCCCAGGCAGCAAGGCGCCTTCTTCCCAGAATGCAGCCCTCATGCTCCTTGAATGCAATCTCTGAGTAGGTCACAGGTCAGCCCCTGAAGATGGGTACAACTACTTCCATGATTCCTTAAGCGAGGTGTGTAAGGCACTGGGGCTTACAGGCTTCAGCTGGCTGTCACACGACAATCAAATCTGTGGAATGGGTGCCAAAGAAACAAATGACTGTCCCAACCATGGGGGGG